CACTGACAGGCTGAAAGAACTGAACATTTTGAGTCTTAAACTAAGAAGATAACGAGGAGACATGACACAAGTATTCAAAATCATCTATACTGATAGTCACTGATAGTCAACCTAGAGGACATCTTCAGAATGAAGAATGAAACACGAAACAGAACGAGAACAGAAGGAACAAGCTATCCAGCCATGTGGCACTTTGGTGTCTTTCAAGAAAACAGCTGGATGAAATGCTTAGATCAATGAATAGCTGACCACCAAACAAGCTGGATGGTGCCATATCTGTCCTTCAGAATACCAGAGGCTGGCAGACATGGTAGTCATGGCACATACAAACCATACAGGCCACACGTGGTGGCCCAACCCCTTTTATTTTACATTGGTATTTCCATTTTTTGTCCATTACCTGTACAAGGGCTATATTAAACCTTAATACCACTGTATTAAGCAATACAGTGTTTAGTACTTACTAGTTACTGCAAATCCAATGAAAAACTTGTGCCTTAAAATGTTCCATCTATAAAATCACCAATAATGATGTGATAGTTTCATACAGGTTGTACATTTTTTGCTTTGACTGAACCAGTAAGGTTCAAAGGCACAAAAATAAGAGAAGAGGTTATATTTTGGTTTAGGAAAGATGAAACATTTTTTTTAGGAAACAAAACCAAAAGAAAACCAAATCCACCAAAAGCAGGGCACTGTAGTAACCCCCCTACACAGTGCACACAGATACGTGTTGCTGTAGGACAGGTATGGACCCATATCAGTACAATTAATAACTGTTAATGTTTCTTTATTAGCCCTATACAATTTCTTGCATTAGGAATTCATCTTTTTGCATACCCCAGCTTTTCTCCATGGAGACACAGACAGGGAGAGAAGCTTGGGGTCAGAGCGCAGGGTCAGCCATTGTACGGCACCCCTTAAGGGGTTAAGGACCTTGCTCAGGGGCTCAACAGAGTAGGATTCCTCTGCCAGCCACGGGATTTGAACCAGCAACCTTCCAGTCACAGGCGCAGATCCTGAGCCACAGAGCCACCTAGGAGCTCCAAGAAGACATCAGTGCTGGTTATACATGTTTTATAAACACATTTGTCTTGGGATTATAAGGGAGTAAAATGTGAGTTACAGACTGTGGGAATAAGCTCTGAATTACTTATTGCTGGCAGCAAGTGGTTGTGTGTCTGGGTGTTATATTACTATCAAAAATAGTGGAATCATCTTGCTGCATGCTCTCATTGTTTCTGCTACTATATTATTATTATTATTATTATTATTATTATTATTATTATTATTATTATTAATG